TATAATGCAATTACTGAAAATATGGGTCAGAGGACACTTGAAATTCAATAGATTTAAAACCAAATATTCTGAAATTAGTGGAGATACCTTAAATATAGGTGCTTCATTGGGTTTTATTGTTGCCTCACATACCCTTTTAAAACGTTGGGGTATAGTGATAAATCCGTCTTATAAAAAGGTTACATGTTGCAGTTGTCTATTTTGGGGTTACATCCTAACAGATGGCTTCCCTATAGCCTCCTTTAATTACTGTTCTTGTTCAAACCATTTACTGAATGTATATTTCAAAGTATGGTGGGATGTTGAAGACATAGATGAGGTTTCTATAGTAACTTTTTACCTACTCAGTACCATGTTATAAAACAGAATTGTTTCAGTTTCACACTTAAGGTCATCTCTTTATTTCATTTGTCCCCATTTCATTGGTCTCCAACTTGTCTTGCTGTGTTACCTTCTTTTAAGTTTATTTTCCTTATTGTTTACAAAGAAAAATGAAATTCTTCTTTCTTCTTTGCTGTGTTATTTATTTGAACACTATTTTTTATTCTGGGATCCACTGTTTTGCCTTCAATTGCTTTATGTGTATAGCACGATTTTTGATCGTCCCCTTTGAAATCCAGACGTGCATTAGAAGTTGACACAGACATCCAGCCATTCTCTTGTCTTCTGTGCCTGAGCATTTACATATTGAAATAGTCATGCTTGAATGGTTACATACGTACAGACATAAGGCTATAATTTATTTTCTTTTGATGTTTCTTTAATATCTTAATTAAGGCTTTATGTTTATTTTCTTTTTGAAATCATATGTATAGGTGATTAGCCATGCACTTCAATTCAGATGGCCTGGGGACATTAAAAAGTGGCCTTTTGTTCTAATAGATTGGAAAACCACCATTTAAAACAACCCTTAAGAAATGCTTTAAGTTGGCAAAAGTAGGCTAACTATTTGTTTGTTTGCCTGAACAGTTGAAGTTTATTTCTGTTGCCCTGATGTAATTATTGTGTCTCTGTATCAAGAGTCCCAGTTTGAGTGATAAAATACATCGGCACACATTTTTAGAAGTGTTTTTTCCTCCTTAGTCTTAACCATATTATTCACTTTTTGAGCCCTGTGTTGTTTTCATTCAGTCTTTCTATATCCTTTGACAGAGTCCCTGGTTTACTTTTATCCCCTCCCTTATCGACCTTTTCACTCCTAATGCCTGCCAGCATTCTTTTACATGTCCTTGAAAAATCTAAGATATGTGGTTAAAATTCCTTCAGTGTCTTGGTCTTCTCATTTCCTTGCCAACTTGAACCTGCCTTCACCCGGGTCTCTTAACTGGCTTTTCTAATTTTGGCATTCAACTTTATTCCCTTTTCCAGTTATTTTTCAGCATACTTTTGCAAAATTAGTCTTGCCTTATCTACAATTTACAACTTAATTTTTTTTCCACAAATAGACCTTGTTAGTCCAAATTCTCTTTGTTTTGATGCAAATTTTTGGTTATAACTCACATTCAAAAAGCATTCCTCACATTCATTTGCAGCTGACTGCTTTATGTGTCTCCTTGTGTTGTACCATAAATTGTTCTTACTCTGACAGAGAAGCACCTCTACCTAGCATTCTTCTGGTTTTATGTGGAAATGTCACATTTTTGCTTTTTAAAGGAATTTAGCATTTGGATTATGATGTTTCACTCCTGGGGCTGGGGATTTAGCTCAGTGGCGCCCCGTCTGCCTTGCAAGCGCAAGATCCTGAGTTCAATCCCTGCTACTAGGAAAAAAAAAAAAAGGTGATCAAGATGTTTTACTCTGAAGAGGTTTCTTTTTTTTTCCCCTAAGAGTTTTTAAAATGCTCTAGTTTCTGTTGTTATAAGATTTAGCCTCATAACCATTTTAAAGTATACAGTTCTGTGTCATTAAGGGTAATGTTGTACAAATATTACCACTATCTATTTCTAAAAGTTTTTATTACCCTAAGTGGAACTCCCATACCCATTGAATTTTTCCTTCCCACTGTCTCTTCCCCCAGGGCCTGGAAACTATTTACATTTTATTAACTTATCTTTCAAGGTTCATCCATGCTGTAGAATATATCAGTATTTCATTCCTTTTTATACCTGAGTAATATTTCACTGTATGGAGAAATCACGTTTTGGGTTCACCAGTTGATTAGTCTAATGTTTATCAAAGCTTTACTCCAAGATATGATGAATATTATAGTGGTATTTATGAGTGCAGTAAAGAGTACAGTGGATGAGTGTTAATGTTGACTTCGTGGCTATTACTCTTGTACAGAACCTGTGTAAGAAACCCTATCCTATCTCCATGCCAGAATTTACTTTGTCTCTTTCCTTGCCAATCTGTTTCCTTTTATCTTTTTTTGTGACTAGATTGTATTTTTTCTTTACCAATGTATTCATAGGTTTTAGAAAGTACAGATGAATAAGTTAAAAAAATTACTGAGTCCTACCACCCCAAAATAATCACTATTAACATTTCAATATCTATCGCTCTGCTGGATATCTTTCCAAAGGAATTAAAAGAATCATATCACAGTGATATATGCACACCCATGTTTATAGCAGCACAGTTTGTAATAGCTAAAACTTGGAAACAGCCCATTTACCCATCAGTTGGAAACTGGATAAAGAAGATGTGGTTTTTCTATAAAATGGAATACTACTCAGCCATAAAGAATGAGAAATTAGATTCATTCATAGGAAAATGGATACATATTGAGAATTGACTCCTAAGTGAAATAAATAAGTCACACACGTATAAATACCGAATAGTTTCTCTGGTGTGAACAAACTATAATAGTACATAAGATCCTAATGAGATAATTGACAATGTGAAGTAGGAAGAAAATGGCTAAAGGTGTAGGGAAAGTGGGAAGAGTAGGGGAAATGTAATAAGGGAAAGAAAAAAATAGAAAATGAAAAAAATGGGAAATAAAGTGTTTGTAAATAGGGAGAGGAGGAGAGGGTGAAGGTAGGGCAGAGACAAGGGAAAAAATGAGAACCAAGACCTGTCATGTAAAGCTACAAGATCCCAATAATGAATGTAACTGTACTGTATAACCTAAAATGTACCAATAAACTCAATGAGGAAAAAAATTTTTTGAAATCTTTTCTTCTAATCACTTTTCTATGTGTGACTGTTTTAGTTTCGCCTAAGTACAATCACAATGAATAAATATTTTGCACATTGCTCTTTTATTTCATAAAATTCATTTATTTAATGAGGATTTGAATACCTACAATGTGCCAGGGATTGTGTTAGATATCTCGATCAAGTGGATGACAACTTTCTTTGGGGATGCAGCTTGGGTCATCAGCACTCAGGTGATGTTTAAAGCTATGGAACTAAGACCTCCTGGGGGCCTAGCTAGAGCTAGGAAAGGCCCAGGAGTCACACTGAGGGCACTGAAACACACCTATGGCTAAAAAAGGAGGTCGGAGGAAGACAGCAACCTGGTAAAAGCAAAGTCGAGAAGATAAAGTGCATTAAAGCAGAACAGGTCCCCATGTCAAATGCTACTGACTGTCTGAGTGAGGAGAGGTCAGATAATTAACTGTGAGGCTTGGCAAGATGGTGGTCATTTTAGAACTCAGTGGACAGGTGAGGATCATAGCCTAGTGGGAGTGCACAAAGGAGCAAATGAGATAATGTTTAACGCGTTTCTGCATGTATTGGCTCCTCTTTTGTTATTGCTGGGCCTTGTACATGCTGTGCAAGGACTCTGCTCACTAAGCTACATTCCCCAACTCCTGTTTTATCTGTTCTTAAACTTTATTTAATAGCTGAAGAAAGTATAATTAAACCTTTTATGTAACCAATTATTCTCTTTCTGCTGAATGATGTATCTGTTAATTCCAATTTCTGCCATTATCCATTACAAATAAGACCGAAGCGCACGGCTCTGTAAATGTTCTTTTTTATTTTTAGCATCATCTTCTTGGAATCGAGTCATAGAAAGGGAGGTGCTGGTCCAAGAGCAAAACATCTTTAGAGCTGATGAGTTTTACTTTCTCAAATACTTTCTAGAAGCAAGGGGCCCAACAGTTTGACTGTACAAATTCACTGGGCCCTTCCACAGCAAGCCTGTCCTTTCATCAATTTAGAAGTTAGTTCTTCTAACCTTGAACAGAAAATGCAATGACAAGAATTTAATTTAAACATTCCTTACTTGTAGGAAAAAGAGAACAACTTCTGGGGGAATCACCATCTCCAAAAAAATCCTCTCCTTCTCCTCTCTGTGTGCCAAAAACAAAAACAAAAAAGCCAAAAGAAACAACCCACAAGTCATTTCCTGGTCGTTTTACGGATTGTCCCTCCTTAGTTGCAGCAGCTGGATAAAGCAAGAGGGCCCCAGCTGTCTGTCTGCTTGCTGTTTAACTGCTTCCTACCAAGCACTGGAGCAGCTCACTGAGGATTAGCAGCTTCTCTCCCAGGCCTGGCAGGGCCCAATAGGCAAGGGCAGGTCCTGGCTGCACTGCAGCTCATCTGCCATGATCTTCCCTGCTCTGTTTTAGTTTGATATTTGCTGGGCCTTCCTCAGACCCAGTCAGAGATGTGAGCAGGTATCTGCCTCCCCTCTTTGAAATATGTCCTGTTCTGGAACATTAATTCCCACAATGGATGGTCCAGGGTGACACCTTACAACTCAGCAGAGTGTTTGAATGTTCTAGAACCTGGCAGACCTGGGTGAATTTCTCTTCTTGGTTCTGTGACCTTGCATGGGTGACTTCTCCGAATCTTATTTTTCTCATGCATTTAATAAACAGGATAGTATAGTACTAACCACATTACATTATCGTAAAAAACTCCCAAGATAATGTGTGTGGAGTATCTAGAGTCCTCTACCCCCAGTGACTCCGCACATGCTCACCCAAGTGAACTCTTACCGCCCTTGCCCACCTTCCTCTATTGTGGAATCTTCTGACTTTCACTGTGTTACATTGGTGGCACAGACCTGACTCTTCGCCCCTCTTTCTGTTTCATACTTACAGAGAGTTTTTCCAAGAAGCATGGTCATCCTGTTGCTTCTACAGCCCTGGGGTAAGTTCTGGAATGTCTAAGCTAGAATAAGGATTAGCTCAGCTTTTCCTGCTGACTTGACCAGGATAGGCCCATCAAGTAAGTCTTGGATATCCTAGGTTGTAACAACCAAAGAGTGGGCCCCTTTGGCCCACCTGCTAAATGCTAAGGGAATGGAGAATGATCATAGTCTTCGGGGGGCTCTGACACAGGCAAGTCAGAAGGTTTCAGTGAGCAGACTTGACTAAGCAAGTATCCGTAGCTGCTGTCACAGAAAAGCCCTAATTGGCCATGATTTAATGTGAAGAAAGCCTTATTTCTCAGTGAAGGAAGGATCAATCCAGATGTTCTTGAACAGGTAAAGAGCTTTCCACATTCTCTTCCCTGAACCAAGGCTTCTTCCTCCATTTGTTAAGCCCATCTCCGGAGCCCTGTATTTAGAGAGGGCAGGAGAGCATGTGGGGAATCCTGTAGGAGTTTTCCATGAGCCAGCCCTGGCAGTTGCATGCAACACTTCCACTTATGGTCTATGTCCAAAACCCAGGCATTCGGCAGTGCTCAGAATCCAGGTATCCCTACCTCCAAGGGAGTCAGGTAAATGAGCATAGTTGCACACCGAGGAGGTGTAAGATGTTTTGATGATGCACATTTTTCCAGAGGGGCAGGAGAAAGTGTTTCAGAGGTCGCATTGGGGTAGCTAAGGCACTCGGATGGGGTGGAGAAAGGGAAACTGAGTAGATAACTTGTCTAGGGCTGACTTCTCTGCTGACTTCTTTCCAGGGACAGATTTTCAGTCCCAGCAGTGGAAACTCGTCCTAGCATCTGGGGTGAGTGCCCACCAAAGTTTGCCACCAAGCTGGGCCGAGCAGTGGTCAAAGAAGGACAAATGGGGCGATTCTCCTGCAAGGTCACTGGCCGGCCCCAACCTCAGGTCACCTGGCTCAAGGTAAGGTTGTATCTGCCTGGCTCTGACCCAGTCCAGGGAAGTCTGGGAGTTCAGGGTTCAACACTTGGACTCATAGAAGTCTGTCTTTCTAATCAGTTCCTTCTGTGTTGGCGGTAGGCGGTTCTTGAGGGTTCTCATGTTTGAGAGTGATGCTTGTTTTTACCCATTTGCATACTCCCTCTACCCTTCAGACCACAGTGTTCCTGTAATCTTCATTCTCAGAAAACAGCATAAAATTTCTGAGTCCAAACCAGAACATTTCAAGAGAAAAGAATTTGAAGTTAGGATATTAAGTTTAAGGCCACAGCTCCTGTTCAGAAAGCATGTGACACTGGACATATTGTGTGATCTCTGGAACTGTTTCTTTATCTGTGAGGTACAGATAATGCTACCTACCTCATAATGTTGGGTCACTCCAGGCAGAAGTGCTTTAGCAGTCGTTCAGGGCTGGGGGAGTGAAAAGAGGCAGAAGAGGCAATGAGACAGACTGAGAGTGCGCAGGACAGAGAGGAACATCTTGAACAGGTAGAGAGAGGAGAGGCAAAGACAAACTGAAGTGAGGAATTCAAGATTCCCTATCTCAAGCCCAGGCTCCTTTGAAATATTTCCCATGCATCTGCTCTAAACTGGACCTAAAACCATCTCCTATACCAGACGTCTAGGCAGGGTGCTCGACTAGTCCACACTGTCCTCTGAGCCTGACAGCAGAGGCCTGTCACACAGGACTTGCAGGAGGCAGATGTTGCCAAAAGGTGAGCCAACATATTGCCATCCACAGGGAAATGTCACACTGCAGCCGAGTGCCCGTGTGTCTATGTCTGAGAAGAATGGAATGCAGGTCCTAGAAATTCGTGAGGTCACCCAGGATGATGTGGGCATGTACACGTGCCTGGTGGCGAACGGCTCAGGAAAGGCCTCCATGTCAGCAGAGCTCTCCATCCCAGGTAAGGGTTGTGGTGCAGAGAAACCCCTTCCTGTTTTTGGACTGTCCTACAGGATGCTTGTTCCTTACGTACCTGTGCGTTTTCCGGGGCAGGGTTTTGGACAAGAAGAGAGCTGGTTCAGCCAGCAATCCTGACCTGACCCTAGAGGAAGAGCTGTGAACTGGCTATCCCTTCATTTCTGACCCTACACTTGACCCCATCCCTCTGTCTTCAGTCCTTCCTTCTTGCTCACATACCTTATTAGTACCTCCATTGATTGAAGTTCATGATTCCATTGAGTGAACATTGCTGATGTCTTACTGTCATCCCTGCCTAAACTGAGCTTTTTATCACCCTGTCCTTCATACTAAATATCCCCTCAACTTAATTCATTCCACCCAGGATCCCCATGTTCTTCTAACTAGACTGGTTAGCCTGTGCTTGAATAATCACCACTGTCAGTCCTTCCTTTGGGATCTCTCTGAACATGTGTCCTTCTTTCATTCCTCATAGTTGCTCCCAGTGCAGCCTGGGGAAGCCGCAGTGTGCACACGGGGCCGAATGTCACATGATCTCAGGTGGACACCGTCCACACTAGTCATGGAAATCCGCTTTAGCTTAAGGCTCAGGAAGGGAAGTGACCTTCATCTTTCCTCTTTTTCTCTTTCCCTTTCTTTCTATGACTTTTCTCTTTTGCATCTCCTTCCTTCTCGGAAACTATGTCACCTTTCTGCCTGTACCTTTTTGGCCTAAGTATTTTTCACAATCCACAGAAAGAAATTTATTTTACATCGCAACCCAGAATACATGTGTACATATAGACACATTTAACTGAGACACATTTCGTAAAACAGTCCTGACTCATTCTATGTACAGTACATACACTAAAACAAGAAATCCTGGTTCTGATCAAAGAATGTGATTCACATCTCCCTGCAGGTCAGGACCTGTCATCAGGCATCTGGAGTAGAATTTCAGCCACTGTCCCTTCACTTACCCTAGCCTTGAATTTTAAAATGTACTTAATGACAAAATGATATGTTTCCTGGTATTTATTTTAAAGTACAGAAAGTCCCTGACTTATGAATGAGTTCCATTCTGGGAGAACACTCAAAGTCGGATTCATTCATAAGTCCTACAGAGTGAGTCTTATACACCTTTGACACACACAAAAAAAACAGTATAAAGCATTAAAAAACCAAATACAAAATACTGTACATTGTTGCACTGTACAGTAAGCACACAACATCAAGCCTGTGACAATGTCCCACAGACACACGAGCTATTTCTGTGATTTGTTCACATCTTCAGATGTTCACAATGAAAGGTCCTGTCATATCTGTGAAAGCTCAAGACTACAATGTCCGTAGCTCAGGGACTTCCTGTACTCAAAAACGTACAAATAAAACAGGACAAAAAGATAGATAGGGACTGGGAGGTATTGTTGTGTCCATAAACATACTAACAGCTTTGACAGTTTGTAATGTTTTTCTAATGTTGTATACTTTTAATTTTCCGTGATAAAGTTTAAAAAGAACATGGCAGGAAAATAATTTATCATATTTTTTTCTTGGAAGAACAATAAAATTACACTTGATATATTTGTACAACACACATTTGTCTAAAGGGAACACTTTGAGGAGTCTGATTTGGTGGGCCACAGATACATTAAAGTGTTTAGGTTTGAAATTTTCAGTAGATGGATTGTGTTAGTTTGTCCCTCCCTTGGTTTTTATTTCTTCTGTTGAGTGAAGGGAAAGGGATCCTTGCCCTTAAGCACCAGCCACTGTCAGAAGCCATGGAGGGCCGTCCTGGAATCTTGGACAGTCTCTCCAGGGATGAGAGGAATTTCTCAAACCAACCAAAGAGGTTTGGCACCAGCGAGGCTGGAAGTGGTGAGATGGGGTGGGACCATCATGCCAGGACATTTGGGGCATGAAAACTGTGATATCAGGAAGGGATGTCTTACCATTTTATCCTCTAGACATATAAAATATCCCAGTAACTGTCCTTTTGTTCTTCCCTCTTCTTCCAGGTTTGGACAAGGCCAACAGGTATGTCTGAGCTTTGTGGTTCTTGTTTTCCACCTTGAGATATCTTGCAAGGAAAGGAGGGGAAATGGGAAATGCCCTGAATTTTCCTAGTCATCGTGTAGCAAAGATGATTTGACTTGGTTTAAAGGTGTTTTTATTTAGGGTGCTTTGCTTTGGGATGTTCTGCTTTGCTCTCCTTTCCTAATATGCTCTCCAGTTCTGAATGAAGGTTGGTATCAGTATAAAGATTCATGAAAATTCCATGCCACCATCTTCCTCTACATCCCCAACGTAGCCAGGATTGGGAGACTTTACAGACACCAGGCCAGAATCCATATGCTCACTCAGCCCAGTCATGAGGAGCTTTCTCTCCTGTGTGTGAGGCCCAGAGCTAGGCCATGGTAGGTACACTGGGTGAGCCAGCTGTCTACTGTGAGCAGAGCTTAAAACAGTCACTCAAATGTGTACTTACTACTGTGATCTGTGATGAAGAATGACAGAGACTCTTAATTCAGACTTCAAGGCTAGGAGAGAACTCTTTCTGCCAACTCCATATTTGAGCTTAGACCTGTGAATTGTGATTTTATCAGGCAAGGAAAAGCCAAAGAGAATGTGTTCTAAACAGAGGGAGCAGTGTGTGTGAGCTCTGAGAGGAGAGAGGGGCCTGTGGGGGCCCCAGAAGAACACTGGTATGGCTACAGCCTGGCTGACAGTGTGAGTGTCTTCTGAGGATCCCCAGGCTTAGAAGCATTTTACAAGGCTCAGTTTTATTCTGAAGAGATTAAAAAGCTTGTGGAAAGTCCTGCAGCTTCAAGTATTTTAATTTATGTCTTTGAAAGATTACACTTGCTGAGTAGAATTGGATTAGTGAGGGGCTGTGAGAGCAGGGCATGCCAGCTGGGTGGTTTGGATTTGGGGGGCTCCAAGGAGAATAGAAGGGTAGGTAAACAGAGCTCTGGATGAAAGTAAGGACAGGAAAGGTCAGAAACAGCCCTGGTGCTCTGGCTTGGGACCCTGAACAAAATGCAGAGAAGTACTTCTGCTCTTCCTGTCCCCTAATATGTGGGCTTTTGTGATTCCTGGAATCGGTGCTTGTGTGGGGAATGTTTGTGAGTAACCAGATGATCACTCTGCTCCTCCTCCTCCTCCTCCCTCCCAACCCACCACCATACCAAAGGTCATTTGTGAGAGGAACAAAGGCTCCCGACGCCGACATCAGGAGGGAGGTGACCAATGGGAGCCAAAAGGGACTGGAACTGGACAGCCTGGAGGCAATGGCCGAAAATAAGAACAGTTCCAGCCTGCAGAAAGGTGGCTCTCTGGCCTGGGTCACAGGCAGCCCTTCACATTCCCTGCGGGAGCCCAAACCACAGCCAGGCAAGGACTCCCCTAGAAAGGTCCTGCAGACCCCAGTCCTGCAGAAGACTTCCAGCACCATCACCCTGCAGACCACAAAAGTCCAGCCAGAACCCAGAGCACTGGCCTTGGTGGCTCTGTCTCCTTCCAGAGAGGATCAGAAGAGGCCAGCTGCTTCCCAGCCAGCCACCTGCCCCACCAGGTGGTCTGGCCGGGAAAGCCCAGAAGTTGTGAGTACATTTGCCACCAGGAAAACCCCCATGGAGAGCCAGAGAGAGTTGGCCTTGCCCAAGTTTGAAAGCAAGCCCCAAAGCCTGGAAGTCAGCGAACATGAAACAGTCAAGTTCAGATGCAACGGTGAGTAGAGCTGGTGAGGTTCCTGGTTCCCAAAAGCCAGCCCATTACTGGTCATTGCTTCACCACCTCCTATATCCACCCAACCCCCTTCACTGGGTCCACAGGATACCACCTTCCAGGGGACTTCCCTTCAGGAAGATTCAGTCTAGAAAATTCCTTCCTTCTGGAGAGAACCCAACAGTAGTGTATTGTTGCTTGTAAAATACAGCATTGGCCCTGTGCCCTAATTCTCACCACCCTAGAAGGAACATGACCCTCACCATTTCCACCATCAGAATTCCAGCAGCCATCTCTCTCCTTTCTTCCTCTTCCTGGCCTTGTGGACCACCCCCCTAGGATTCCTCTTCCCTGAGGACCTAGACTCATCTTTATTCTCATGGAATGTGAGATCCAGGTAAGGAAGCAGGCTTGAGAGTAGGGAGGAGCCCCACCCCGCCTGAGCACTTCCTTCCACTCTGCGAGCACAGTGCCCCTCCACTGGGTGGGGGGACCTCATGTTCTTCACCTACATGTAGTTTCAGGGATCCCGAAGCCTGAAGTGGCCTGGTTCCTGGAAGGCGTCCCTGTGCGGACAAGAGAAGGCACCATTGAGGTTTATGAGGATGGGGGGTCCCACTACCTCTGCCTGCTGAGAGTCCGGGCCGGGGACAGTGGCCGGTACAGCTGCACAGCTTTCAATAGCCAAGGCCGGGTGTCCTGCAGCTGGACCCTCCTAGTGGAAAGTGAGTAGACCCCTCCCATGACCCCAGATTCTGAAGGGTGCTTTGCATGTTACAGATGCTTGAGCTCCTCAGCTGCACCCCCAAGGCTCCAGCAGAACGTCATTCCCAACCACCTTCCCAAGTCTAATACATTGCTCCTGGTGGTAGTTTTTTGTTATTGTTTTTGTTTGTTCATACTGGGCATTGAACCCAGGGCCTTTGCATTGAGCTATATCCCTAACATGTGTTTTACTTTGTAATTTTGAGACAGGCTCTCCCTAAATCACTAAGTTGCCCAAGCTGGGCTTGAATTTATAAGCCTCCTGCCTCAGCCTACCAGAGTACTGGAATGACAGGCATGCACCACCATGCCCAGGTCCAGCAGTTATTCTTAATTAGGAGTTACATCAGAATCATCAAAGTAAACAAGCCCAGACCTATACCCAGCTAAACCTTTTTTAGGTTCCTCGGCTACCCAAGAAATACTTTGACTCAACTTTTATAATCAGAGAATCAAATGTTCAACAACTATATAGGTTTAGAGAAATGTGAGAAGATATAAGACACCGTATCTCTTATGTTTATTGTAATGTCTGTTTATAAAAGTAATACATGCTCACTGTGGAGCATTTAAACCATATATAATCTTTAGACTCTGAAATAAGCATCTTTAAAGCTTTGGCACGGGGATGTGTAAATCTAATTGAGCATATTTAAAGCCAAAGTTTCCATGTACTGTATAAACAAATGATGAGACAAACTACAAATTAAGGCGCTTTTTTTCCCATTTCCCTTCCTTCCCTTCAGTGCTTCTTCCCCTCCCCATTTACAAAAACTTTGTTTCCATTTTTTCCTTTCATTCTTTTTAAATGCCTTTTCCCTTCCTTTCTTTCCTCTCTCCCCTTTCCTCCTTCCCTTCCCATTGGAACATGTTCTTCTTATTTCCCAATTTATCCTCCATTTTGCTTTTGTTTACCTTTTGGGTTTCTCACACAAGAGAAACAGTGTGATCTTTAAGTGTGTGTGTGCCAATTTATTTCACCTAAAACTATGGTCTTGAGGTTCCTTCGTTTACCTAAAAATGACTCAAGTTTATGCTTCTTTATGGCAAAATAGTATTCCGTTGTGTATACATTGTGTATACTCCTCAAAATCAGGAGTCAGTTCCCAATCTCAGTTTGCAGAGTTTTACTTAGAACCTAACTAATAGTTGTTTGTAGAAACCTCCACAATTTCATCGAATCTGCAGATATCCTCAATTATTTTCTTGGCATGAGCCTACAAGTAGCCAATCTGAGAGGATTATTCTCTTCTCCTTGCTGCTGATTAGCTGCTGTAACCCATCTGAGCAGATGCACCAGCATTTCCACATCATAACAGATTGCTGTACCATGTGTAGCTATCTTGAGTGTTCTTGGTTTTGTTGTTCTTAAAGCCCTAAAATCCCTAAGATGCCACCAAAATAAATGCCCTGCACCTTATAAGGCTTTATTAATACAGCATTTTATTAAATTACATAACTGGTAGACATAGCATATTTAGGATTTAAACTATAAAAATAGGCATTTTTTACCACATCTGAAATCCATGGTTTTTCACAATTCACTGGTACTGTAGGAACATAACCCCTGTGAATTTCAGAGTCCACTGTAAATATTACATTTTCATTATCCATTGATCTGTTTATAGGACTATGGGCTGTTTTGAAGATTTAGCTATTATAAATTGTGCTGCTGTAAACATAGCATATATCACCGTGGTATCATGCTTTTAACTCTTTCAGGAAGATACCGAGAAGGGGAACAGCTGGGTCAAATGGAATCACTAATTTTAATTTTTTGAGGAATCCCCATACTGATTGCCATAGTGATTGTACCAGTTTACACAGCCACCAATAGAACAGAGTTCCTTTTCTCACCAGCGTTTGTTATTGGTTGATTTCTTGATAACAGCCACTCTTTCTGGAGTGAGATGGAATCTCTGCATTGTTTTAATTTGCATTTCTTGAACAACCGGTGATGGTGAGCATTTGCTATACATTTATTTGCTATTTGTACTTCATTGGAGAAGCACCTATTCATTTCAGATGCCCATTTTGGGGGTTGGTCCTTTAAATTTGGAGAGGAAGATGTTTTTTAAAGTTCTTTAGGTATTAGTCCTTTGTCTAAGGAGAACCTGGTAAGAAAATTTTTCCCATTCAGTGGGTTGTCTCTTCATTCCTGTTGGTGATTTCTTTTGCTGTGCAAAAGCTTTTTGATTTGGCATCATCTCAGTTGTTGATTCTTTCTGATATTTCCTGTGTGATTAGGGTTTTGTTCATAAAATCTTGGCCCATGCCTATGTCTTCAAGAGTTTTATCTACTATTTCTTCCAGCAAGCAAAGTGTTTTTGTCTTAATATTTAGATCTTTGACTCATTTCTAGTTTAGTTTAGTGCATGGTGAGAGGTAGGGATCCAGGTTTAATCTTCAGCATGTGGAAAGCAGTTTTCCCAGCACCATTTAGTAAAGATGCTATCTTTCTTCCAGTGATGTTTGGCCCCTTTGTCAAAGATAAGGTAGCTGAGTGTGTTTGTGGTTGTTTCCACATCTTCTGATCTGTTCCATTGATCCTTGGGTCTGGTTTTGTTTTTTTGTATTTTTTGTTTTTGTTTTTTGTTTGTTTGTTTGTCATTTTGTTTGTTTTTTGCCAGTACCATGCTATTTTTGTCATGATAGCTTTGTAGTATAACTTCAAATCGGGGATTGTCATGCTTACCGCCTTGTCTTTGTTGTTAAGAAATGCTTTTCCTCTTCTATGTCTCTTCTGGTTCTATATGAATTTTAGGATTGTTTTCTCTAGCTCTGTGAGGTGTGATATTGGTGTTTTGATTGAGATTGCATTAAATCTGTATAAAAGTTTTGAAAGTATGGCATTTTTGCTATATTCTGTCTATCCAAGAAGAGGGAATATCTTTCCATTTTCTAATATTCTCTTTAATCCCCTTTTTTCAGAGTACTACAGTTTTCAATGTAAAAGTCTTTCACTTCCTTCATTAAATTGATTCCTAAGTATTTTTTTATCCTATTGTGAAAGGAGTGGTTTCCCTAATTTTTCTCTCAGTGAATTATTTGTGTATAGGAATGCTATTGATTTTTGAATGTTGACTTTGTATCCAGCTACAGTACTGAATTTAATTATTAAATCTAGTAGTCTTTTGGTGGAATTTTTGGGGTCTTCTATATATAAAGTATTATGTCATCAACAAATAATGATAATTTAACTTCTTCCCTTCCAATATTCATTTTCTTTTTCTTGTCTAATTGCTCTGGCTAATGTTTCCACAACTATATTGAATAAGAGTGGTGATAGTGGACAGACATCCTTGTCTTATATCTGATTTTAGAGTAAAAGCTTTCAGTTTTTGACCATTTAGTATGATGTTGGCTGTTGTTTTGTCGTAGATAGTTTTATCAGATTGAGGTAAAAACTATCCCAGTTTTCTGTAGGGTTTTCATCATAAATGGTTGTTAGACTTTGTCAAATGCTTTTTCTGCATCTGTTGAGATTATCATATGTTTTTGTCCTTGACTGTGTTAATATGATGTGTAATAATTATTGATTTGCATATGTTGATGCATCCCTGCATTCCTGGGATGAATACTGCTTGGTTATGGTATATAATCTTGATGATTTGCTGCATTTTGTTTGTCAATATCTTATTGAGGATTTTTACATCTGTGTTCATTAGGGGGATTAACCCTATAGTTCTTTTTTTTTGTTGGATCCTTCTCTGATTTTGGTGTCAGAGTAATGCTTGCTTCTAAGAATGAGCTTCAGAGTATCACTTTCTTTTCAGTTTCATTAAAGAGTTTGAGGAGTAATGGCATTAGATCTTCTCTAAATTTCTTGTAGAATTCAGCCATGAATCCATCAGGACCAGGGCTTTTCTTTGTGATAAGTTTTTAATTACATCCTCAATTTAATTGACTGATACTAAGTTATATCTTCTTTATTCATTTTTGGTAATTTGTATTATCTAGGATTCTGTCCATTTCTTCAGTGTTTTCCATTTTATTACAATTCAGTTTCTCACGGTAGGTGTTGATCTTCTGGATTTCTCCAGAATCATTGTGGTTGGTTTCACCCTTTCATTCCTAATTATATGGATTTCAGTCTTTCCTTTACTTTTTTTGATAAGGATGGCTAAGGGTTTGTCAATTTTATTTACTCTTTCAAATAACCAATTTTTCAATTCATTGATTCTTTTATTGATTTCTTAGTTTCAATTGAATAATTTCTGCTCTGATCTTTATAATTTCCTTCCTCATTTGAGCTTTGGGTTTTAATTGCTCTTCTTTTTGTAGAACCTTGAGGCTCAGCATAGGTTATTTATTTGACCTTTCTGTTTTTCTGATGTAGGTATTCACTACTGTAAATTTCCCTCATAGGACTGCCTTCATTGCATCCCATAAATTCTGGTATGTTGTATTGGCATTCTTGTTTAATTATAAAAACTGTCTAACTTTTTCTTTAATTCCATCTTTGATCCATTGGTTGTTCAGGAGGATGTTTTTTTAATTTTCATGTGCTTATGTTTTTTGTGTGTGTGGTTTCTTTTGCTATTTATTTCTAATTTCATTATACTATGATCTGATCATGTGAATGGTATAATTTCAATTCCTTTGCATTTATTTAGGGATGTTCTATGAGTTAGTATGTGGTCTGTTCTGGAGGAAAGTCCTGTTGGCTGCTGAGAAATTATGTATTCTGTTGTTGTTGGGTGGAACAGTCTGTAGATATCTACTGAGTTCATTTGTTCAAAGGTTTGTTTCAGTTTTGATGTTTCTTTGTTGATTTTTTTTTGTCTAGTTAATCTATTTGTCATAGTGGGGTATTAAGGTTCCCCATTACGGTTGTATTAGTGCTTATCTAATTTTTCATATCCATTAGTGTTTGTTTTATTTAGTGTAGTACACCAGTGTTTGGGGCACATAGATTTATGATTGTTATCTCTTCTTCTTGGATTGTTCCCTTAAGAAG